TATCATTATTAGATATTTAATTAAAATATTTATACGCTTTTATATTTAATTAATGTTAATTTCATGTATACAGTTTTTTTCATTTGATTTTTTTATATTTGTGTAATAATCATACAATATAAAAAATTATTTAATAAAAATTGATAGAAGATCCAAAAACGGCCTTATTATTAATCTTCATCTTTATACGTAAAAATGTGTATATTGATATAATATTAGATGTGGGAAAAAGTTCGTGGCGTTTTTTTTCCCATTAGATGGCATTAAAAAAAGCCACGAACTTTTTCCCACACCTAATATAATAAGTACGTATAATGTGTAGATGTTGTAAATGTATGTGTGTAAGAAATCGCGTTCAATCGGTAAAACAGATGATGCCGTGGAGTTCTTATCAGGCCATCCCTTTAAAAGAGGGTTAATCTTTCTTTTTTTCAATTAGCATCTTATCGGAAAAAAGGATAGATACATGTTCGCGCTTCGAGAAAATTCACGAGTTGATTCATATAGCAATTTTACTTCTGTTTTTTTCCCCGTTAGATTTTCTCTCTTTTTCTCTTGCTCCTACTCGCCGATCTATTGTGTGCGTTCGATCGGCGAGTCCAGTTCTACCTGTCCCCCTCCCCTTTTTATTGTTACTTCTGGTACTTCAGGCATTACTGCCGAGAAGTCCAAGTGAGTCCGCCGAGAACCCTCTATCCGCATCGTGACGTCCGCACTGTTCGCATTAGCACATTTATATACGGTTGTCCAGCTGACTGCGCGAAGACGAGATGTCGTTGATCAGGATGCTGTGGAGGTGCACGTTTAGTCCGCGGCTTTTCAGGATTTACGAGGTAACGTGGATCGGTTTGGTTGACGTAAGTACGACATATTTATTCAGCATTTTATGCAGGAATTTGCATAAAGTTGAGGTTACAATACGTATGCATTACAGAAATCGTACGAGGCGAAGAATTTGGAGCGATGGGGCGATAACATCGCGATCTCTGTAAGTGTTTAGCACGGCAGAACGAAGATTGTGACATTTTCGAAAGTTTCGCCGCAGTCTTATCACTTTGCTCTGCCAGTCTGCGTGAATAAAGTCTTCCAAATACCGGCAAATGCGATCTTCTGTTTATATTTTATTAATTTGTTCAGATCTTCTGTATTATTGCGACTATAAGGATATAGGAAATGACAAATTGTTTCTGTGCTGTTGCAGTTTGCGGCGATATGGTCCATAAGCCTTTACGCTGTACCAGTCATTGCCATGTTCGCCATGTATCAGCGTGGCTATTCCTTGACAGATAATGTTTCTTGCTTGAGTAAATTGGCTGCTGGCGCCGGTGCATTTCTCGTTGCCTCGTTGGCTGCACGTGGTTACTCCAGAGTTAACAATCCAGTGTATGTGAAGTTTATGGAGACCTTGAATGAGGCACACTTGCATTACAATGCAAGCACAAAGCAGGAACTTCAGAAATATGATTTCGAATTCTGGGCATGGCCTGTAGATTTCGATGTATTGGAATTAAGAAGGTTGGACCTATTTCTGTCAATAATTAATTAAACATGTTTACAAATCTTAACTTTTATTTTATATAGTGACAAATTCTTTAATAAATTCTAATATTCAACATTTGTTTACAAAAGTTTTTTGAATTGTAATCTTTTACAACTTTATAACAGCTGATAATCAAATATTTTTTACCATATCTTGAACTAATATTTTGGAAAATTGATTTATAGTTTAACATTTTATGTAATTCTATCTGAAAACTTAGAAAACTTGCAATTAAAGAAATAAATCTTTTTAAGTTAGAAATTAAGATTAGAAATTTTTAAGTGTATGTAACATAATTAATGTTATAACTTACTATTCTCTAATTTTATGTTTCTTGTAGTGACACTGCAGATAAATTGACATTAGAAAAAATTGCAAAGGCTAGTGGACGTCTCAGGAGACAAAGTAGCAAAGAATTTTTATTCGCTATACCATGTAAATTGCTTTCTTATGTAGTAGCACACACCTTTGCGGGTAAACTGATTTATCCTGGCAGTATATCTTTCATCGGTTGGGCACTCGGTAACACATTACTATAATTATATACATAATTATAGTTGATTAGAATTAATTTAATATATAAGTAAATTATTATATTTACTCATGTTTCTATACTATCATTTTGTATCACAATGTCACAGGCTCTACATTAGTGAAGGGAAGGATAGATTTATTAAAACAAGGAGGAGAAAGATTCAAATTAATGACTATTGATAAAAATCAAATTGATGCATTATTCGTTGATCGACGTAACAAGTAATGTAAACGATAACTTTCTTGGTATTTTCTGTTACATTATAAACTGTTTTTTAATTTACACTATATTGCAGAAGCGTTAGTGGCAATATATTGGTTATAACTTGCGAAGGAAACTGTGGTTTTTATGAAACAGGTATTATATCCACTCCTCTGACTAAGGGCTATTCCGTGTTAGGTTGGAACCATCCGGGTTTCGGCAGCAGTACTGTAAGTATTACGCTTGCAAAGACGTAAGCTTCGAGTACATTTCACAATTCGATGGGAAGAATTGCTGTTACTCTGCTATAAAACTTCATTGCAACAATAAAATTTTGCCAATGTTGCAGTTATTGTCATTCAGACAGTAAATGCAAAGTTGGAGTAATGGCAAGCTTTCTTCTTTGAGAGCCGACTTGTATTTCATATAACAGTAAATCATGACCACAAAGGGTGCGCCGTATCCAGATCAAGAAGAAAACGCCATTGATTGTATAATGCGCTTTGCGATCGAACGTCTAAATTTTCCTGAGGAACGGATTATTCTGTATGGTTGGAGCATCGGAGGCTATACTGCCACTTGGGCCGCTATGAACTATCCTTCTATTCATAGTTTGGTAATATTATTTAATTCAATTAATTACATACATACGCTAAATCGATTCTGCATATTACTAAAATTAAATCACTACAGATTTTAGATGCTACTTTCGATGATGTACTGCCATTAGCTATTAAAACAATGTCACCGTCCCTAGAAGGCTTAGTCCGTAACATAATCAGAGATTATTTCAATCTAAACATAGCAGAACAATTGAATAGGTATAATATTTTATTTACAATGCACATTATTACAATCAGATTACAATGTATACTTCTATACACATCATTTTTTAATTTAATAGGTATAATGGGACTGTATTGTTAGTGAGAAGAACAGATGACGAGATCCTTTGTATACCTAATAATAGTTTAGCTGGAAATCGCGGTAATATATTGCTGATGAAATTACTTCTTAGACGTTACCCGCATCTATTTTCCGAAACCTCTGAGTCTGGAACAGTTCTGTCAAGGTTCTTATCTGCTGAAGCAGCCGATAGAAGTAAGGAATTTGAATATCAATAGCATTACTAAGAGGAATTCTATTTAAATATATATGTTACCAAATTGATATCTGACAGCGTCAATATTGGAATCATTCCAAGTGGAGGAAAATCATTGCCTAGAATTGATAATGGCTAATGTACGAAGTAATGATGGGATGATAAATTATCCGTCTACTTTGGGACAGGATTGTCAAGTTAGAACAAAATTACAGCTGGTTCTCTTTCTTGTATGTATTACATACACTGATTTGTAGATTTAAAGTCAAACAAAACAAGAAAATTAATCTATTTTCTTCCTCTATTTTATAGGCAACGATGTATATGAAAGATCAATCATCGTCGCACTGCATTCCACTGTCTGTTGATCTCTTTCATCCAGGTTGGGATCCAATTTCCACTGTTATTGCAAAGTAGCTTTTACAGTACTATATTTTGAACATTGGAACACAAGCTTCCCAACAGATTTTATTTATATAGTGCATTATGAAAAGGTGAAAGCGATAATAACAGTGCAATTTCATGTTTAAGTTTAATTAGCACACACATACATTCAAACATTATTTATTCCATATTAATCTATAATCAATCTTATAAATTTTTGTGAAAATTGTCACTAGATATCATTCTATAAATTCATGATTAACGTTTTTTTTTAGTTGAATTGCAATGGTTATTAGCGTTTTTTTTAATTGATTATATGCGTCGCATATCGCCAATACTGCTTTGTATAAATTTTATTTGTATATTACAATATATATATATATATTA